CTTTCCCTAGCTAATCGTAATTCTTAGTGATAGTCACTGGTTTGAGGAGTCACATCCATCATAAATGATCCACAGCTGCACAGGAATCACACTCTAAATGCCACATTTCCTATGCAAACTTACCTTTTCAGTTGTAGTGGATTAAGCAGAGTAAGATTTGTTTTCTGGCCTCAAGTGTGGATCAGTTGAGTAAAAAAGGCAGAAACGTTGGCTGGGGTGGAATTTACCTTACGACAGAACGGGGGGAGGTTTGGTTTATTTTCACATAGCAGATGTTGTTACATCCCTGCTGCAATGGAGCCTCTGCCGCTTGCAAGAGCTGACAAATTTTGCTACACTGCCCGCTTCTAAATACTGACAAAGTGCTTGTGAATCAAGGCATGCTTCCCACCTGTGGAGTTTCCTCTGCTTTTCTGCTGCTTTTTATGTGTTGCTACAATCACAGAAATTACTCCGTTTGTAGGTCAGGCCCAGGCCAGATTTCTAACTGGCAGTTGTTCAAAATCCCTTTTTTAGAGTGGGTGTCAGCTTCAGTAACTGCACTGCAGTCTGCACAGTGGGATCGCTCTCCAGCCCAGAGCCAAGTCTGGCAAACCGAGCACATTTTCCAGATGAAGCACACTTACAGGCTGGGCACCGCTTCCTTAAAACCTAATACCCAAAAAGGGAAAAAAGCATCGCCTCTCTAATTCAGCTAGATGTCTTTTTTTCCCCTAGGCCACCTTGCCTGGACTCAGGGCAATTTGGGGCATAATCCTAACTCACAGCAGCAGAGGAGGGACTAGGTTGTAACTCCAGAGTTCCCACCATTGACACCCGCAGTGATGTTTAGGTAAGGTCATGTAACCTCTCTCCCACTTCAGCTCTGCTCCTCAGTCCCCATGAGGGGACACTGATAACCCTCTGGTGTCATCGTGTTAAGTCAAAAAAAAGAGTAAACTGAGAACTTCTTGAGAGCTACCTCAGGTGGTAAAGAGGGGCCGTCCTCCAGTCCTGCACCTTCCGGTATCTTACGTGCATCTTCTTAAGATGCTTTTTTTGGACATATCTGTCACTTTTCCAGTTCCTGCTAACAGATACGACTGTTGCCCTGTGTTGTTCTAGGCAGGAGAAAATGGTGTCTAAATTTTGCTCAAGATTCTCATAGCCAAAAAACCCCCCCAGTTGGGATTTTCCAAGGGTGGTGGTAAAAGGCAGGCTGCGTCCTGGAAGAGACGGTCCCGGTTTGTCTCTGTATTTTGCAATGACCGAAGAGACTTTAGAACAGGCAGGATAATAAAAAGAACAAAGCACTCACGAGTCACGCTGTTTGTGTGATAGATTTTTTTTTTTAATTTATACTGTACTTCCATTGTACTAGCTACTTTACATTAAGTTTTGGCTGCATAGCCTTTACAATTCCTAGGTTCTAGCAGGTAAGTTTCAGTATCACCTTATCGCCTTTTGCGCACAGCGCAAAGTTTATGACAGTTAAGACAACTCCTAAAACAAAGCCACGGTTCCTCCCCAACCCTAGAGTTCACGTGCGCGCTACAGGCGCCTTGGCCAACGGCCCCCCGCTTCCCGGGCTCCGGTGGCACAATCCGGAAAGGAGGCGCACTCCTGCAGGTGATTGTACGCCCCGCTCCCGTTCCCTGCTCACGCAAGGCGATCCTCGTTAATTTGCAGTTACGCACGGTAATTGGGGTTGCGGGATGCAGGGGCGGGGAGAACACGCTCCAGGTTTTTAGCAGCTTTTAACCGGCCCCGGAGCACGTGACGGGAGATGAGCCGCCGTGAGAACGGGAACGTCCCGGAGATGCCACGGCCACGCGATGCCAGTCCTGGGCGGTTGTAACGCTGGAACGGTTCTGCTGCTCCTCCCTGCCCCCCGACCTCATCGGGCCAAGAGCCAGGTTAGTGCTTCCGTATCTGCTAAGTGCTATTGCGAGGGAGGTGGGCTTGCGAAGTTGGGGAACAACGCGTGCGTGGCGCAGGCTCCACCGCTTTGCTGGATAAAGGCGCTGCTTTGTAACAGCCGCTCTCCCAAATCCTAGCGCCGTCGGGGCGGTTTGGGCCAAAACCGAGACGTGACCAAATGGCTCTGGAACCTGAGCTGCGCATTGGTTTTATTCCCTAACTATTCTCAGAGTTTGGGCTGGGGAAGGTGGCCATTGAACGTTAGCAATGGAATTGGCCTAAATGAGTGAGGTAACAGAAAAGGCCAGAGGAGGTACCTCCCTGAGCCATGTGCAAATATAATTCCTTCAGCAGAAGGAAGTCCTTTTCCCTACTGAAAAAAATAAAACACATTCACTTAAAAAGCATACAGACTGCGGCAAGGAAAGGCAAGCAGGGACAGCACCAGGTCAGTCCATCTATGACACAGGGAATGATTGTCCAGCAGCAAATATGTGGGAGGGGAGAGGGAAAAGCCATAGCAAGCACTGTGTGTGGGAGAGAAGGGCATGGCACACCACGCATCCATGCTAAGAGATAAGCCCATGCTGTTTTGCTAAATCGGGAAATAATCTCAATCGGCAGTCGATCAAGACACGAGGAGATTATTTGGCCAGTGTGCACATCTAGAAAAAGAATGGTATTATGGCACAGAGAGACTCGTGCGGCAGAGACTGCAAAGCACAGAGATCAGAGCATGCCAGGCAGAGCAACCGGGCCGGAAAGTCAGCGCAGCCACGTCCGGGAAGCTTCACTGACACCCATGTTCTGTGAGCCACTTGCCTCTGATGCTTTGGTTTAAGAGTCTCTGTTTTGAGTATTGTTTTAAGCAAGCCCCTGCCAGATATTTTAACCAGTGCTGAGACTGACTGAAAAGGCTAAGCCAGAGTCCACAGGACTGTGCCTGGCAAGCCTGGCAGAGATCCCACCTCTAGATCAGGGAGTGGTTTGGATAGAAATCCTGGTTGGGAAAAGCAAACGCTGACTGATAGAGCGCTACCTGGTTAAAATGGCTAGTTCAGTGCACTTCACAAAAACACTGTAAGGACGTTCTGTGGAGAGCTCCTCTCAGGAGCATGGCATCTCTGCGCCGATGGCACAGGAGTACTCCAGGTGCCTGCCACACACCAAGACTGAGCCAGACTGTGATAGAGCCCCTTCCTAGATCACTGTGCTAGCCTGGAGACTGCGTACACCTGGGTGCTGCCCTTCACAAACTGTATTTTTATAGACATTAACTCACATGCTGGCTTTATGCCATAAATGAACCCAAGGTGAAGAGTCTCGAGTGTTTTTCCCCTCCTAGCAGCAGGGGAAGACCCCTCTAACGAGCCAGGAGTGATTCGCTCCCCCAGAGCACGTGTCGCTAACCTCTCTTTTGCAGCTCATTGCATGTGAGCAGTGCTGGTCTTTTTTCGGGTTGGAGACTATCTCCACCACTCTGTCCTAGTGCTGGATGGTGTGAAAGCTGTAGGCTGCCCTCTCTGTCTGTCTCCTCTATTTAGGTACCTTAGGATCACTGAAAGATGATAGAAAAACATGTCTGAGAAGGGAAAGCTACCAGGAAAGGGAGAGGAATTAAGGCCACATGTTACACAAGTACCGTGTTCACCAAAACCTACGTGTGTGCCAACCTCCTGGTTAGCACTTCTGACACGCAGAAGGCCAAAGCGTGAGGTTTGCAAGTGCGTGTTTCACTCAGCCTCGGTGTGTTGCAGGTGTCTTCCTGTTGTCTTTATATCTGCACAGAAAGGACTGACTGTATCCAAAAGGCCTCATCCCAAGTACCCAGACCAAAAGTGTCTCCAGCCACTATCTGGCAAACAAACTTCTACCTTTTTGTGTAAAGGTAGGAAAAAGCATCGGTGTAGGCTACACGGTGTAGTGCTGAGGAGACAAGTAGGCTAAAAAAGTCTGTCCCCGTCTACACTCAGGTGAGCTTCTGAAACTAATGGGGTCTGTCTGATAAAAGAACTCAGATAAGCACCCCAGGCTTTCCAAGAGGGGCTATGGCCGTGCAGGCATCGTTATTTCAGAGGCGGTTTTGTGCCGAGGCTTTAAATCCAGCAAAGTGTCGTGCTTTGAAACCTTGCCTTTGAATACAGGGTCATATTGATAGTACAGGTGTTGCCTGTCTCTTCGGTTTCCCTTTATCAGATCTACACAAGTGGGCTCAGGTGGTCCAAGGGCAGATTGCTGCTGAGACTGGTATGGCAGTGTATGAGCTGCATGTAAATGCATACTCTTATGTCAGCAGCATAACCGAGATATGCTAGGGGAGATCAAAGTTGTGTAACTTTTCTCTCTTCTCCTAAAGGACTAAAGGGAGCCAGAAAGGATTTAGGCAGAAG